AAGGATCATGGGAATACAACGTTCTGCCTCAAGGGATAAAGAACGGGCCTCCAACGTTCCAAAGAATCATTAACAATACATTGGGAAATTTGAGGTGGGATTGTGCTCTTGCGTACATCGACGATATAATTATATTCTCCAGAACCTTTGATGATCATACAAAGCACCTCGACCGTGTCTGTTCTGTGTTGGCTCATGCAAATTTTCGACTCAACATCGAGAAATGTGAAGTGTATCAACGAGAAATAAAATTCTTGGGCCATCGAGTAAATGAACATGGATTTTATTACCATTAGAAGAAAAGGTCCAGGCTGTTAAAGAATTAACAATACCAAAAACAGCTAAACAGGCTGTTTCATTTGTAAAAGCTGCTGAATTAATCTTTTAATGATATCAACGTGCTCTCTCTCTCTTTAGAAGTGAAAATTTTTTCACTCAAAAATTACTTTTAAAAATCCAAACTAGAGTCTGTTCTATGTAACTTACCTATCGATCAAAGAAAAGTAGGAATTTCGTGAAGCTAGATCTAAAGACAACCAATCTATTTATTTACTTTTTCCTGCTTTCAGATTGAATGTGTCATTAATGGCTGAACTTGATAAATCTTCATCGAGTGCTGACGTTGGAGAATACGTGGAGCATAGAAAAGTACCAGTTTTAGGACTTTGCGAGGGAATGTTTCATGATCAAGAGGGTAATTTATGTGGAATGGTTTTACGTTATGATCAAGATAGTGGACATTTAGTACCATACCCAACAGAAAATAAACGACACCACGGACTACAAATTGAGCAAGTTTGGCCATCGGTATCACATTTATTAGCAGTTTATATCAATGACAATGATCCTACTGATATTACAATATTTACGTCATCCACGAGTCGAATTGGACCAGATCGTTTTTTAACAACTCTACACTCTATCGTCCGAAAACGTCAAATTCGTGACACGACATTACCGCGAACGACGTTACCGCGAATACAAAAAACGACATTACCGCGAAGACTCGTTTATTGGAAAAGAAGAATAAATGAGCCTGGTTATGTATTTTATATATCATGACTCGTTTACAGTTCTCAGTGGGACTACTTA